CGCGCATGCGCAGAAGCACTAAATTGCACTTTTCACATGTGCAGATGCGTCAAATCGCAACCCGTGCATGTGCAGACAAGCCACTGCAGGTTGCAGGTGCTGCGGGTTGTGAACGTGCATCCCGCACGGATCACGTTCGCAACCTGAGCATCCACTGTACAGGAAAGTTTGCAGCTCCAATAAGGACTGACAAATCCCGGAACCAGGAGGAAGGGACGTTGGATAAAGATTGGACTTGTCTATATCATCCTTTTACTCTTTCTTTATTACTAGAATGTTTTAAAAAGTTGATGAATGATAGAAAAATGTTGGAAGAAATTACCTGGCTTTAGTAAAGATGCATAAAGAAGTATGAAAGAATATTACGATTATAAGAAGCTGGTAAGGTTAAGACTCAAGTTTTAAACTTTAAGGTTTATTTTATTATAGAAAGATAGGATTAAATTAGTCGAGGGCAATGTAATGATAGAATCTTATGAAACATGGAAAGGAAAGGATTTGCTGGGATAAGTAATAACTAGAATACAAAGGAAGGGAGGAGGAGGAGGTCTACGAAAGTAGGTAATGACAGTTAAGGGTCTGAAAATAATGAACCTGTTTTATTTTTGTTTTTTACTCTTTACTCTTTTTTCTGTATTTTTTATTTTTTTGTATTTTCACTTTTTGTATTTTTGTTTTTGTTTTTGTGTAACTTTTGTATCCTTTGAAAATTTAATAAATATCACTTTTTTTAAAAAAAAAAAAAGGAAAGTTTGCAGCTCCATGCGGACAGCACAACGGTCCCTTCACCCTGTACTCTCTTACAGTCAGGCTCCTCCAGGGAGGCAGGTGGCGCTTTAAGAAGAGTCTTGAGTTCTGGTGGTGGCGGGGGGGAGGGGGGATCAGACAACAGCCTTAAGAGATGGAATTGTAGAAATGTTTTGCAAAAAAAAAAAAAAAGGATCTAAGGTTGCACGGAAAGGGAAGCATGGTTGCACTTCCTTTGTAAACAGAAAATGCCAGTCCTATCTTTAGTACTAATCTGCATGCTAAAGGCAGGACCTGACAACTGCTGCCTTTGTGTTTTAAAAGGGAGTGTGACAATGCTTCTTGTTTCTCGCCTCCGGTGCAACCTAAGGTGTCTTTGTCAGAAGCACAACCTGATATAATTCAGTCAGTAAAACATCTCCTTAAATCCATGTTAAGGCTGTTGCAGACCAGAGCTTTGTCTTCACATACCCTCCGACATTTCTCCGATGAAAACAGGCACATCCTATTCCATAGTAATAATAATAATAATAATTTAATTATTTATACCCCACCCATCTGCTTGTGTTGCCCCAGCCACTCCAACGTATAAAAAACATATAATGAAACATAATAAAACATTAAACATTAAAAAATAAAACTTCCCTATATGGGGCTGCCTTCAGATGTCTTCTAAAGGTTGTATGGTTACTTATCTCTTTGGCTCGGGGGTCACATAACTCTATAACCACCACCATTTCTCAGATGAAAATAGTGAGGTCTGGAGGGTGGCAACACGAGAACAGGGCCTTCTCAGCGGTGGCTCCCCATCTGTGGAATGCTCACCCCAGGGAAGTTCACCTGGCACCTTCATTACACACCTTTAGGCGCCAGGCAAAAACGTTTCTCTTCAACCAGGCCTTTGGTTGATTTGATTGACATCCCATGCCCTTTTATAATGTGTGGGGGGGTTTGGGGGGTGTTATTGGGTTGTTGTTTTTATTTTGATTGTGTATGTTATGTACTGAGTTGAATAAGATCCAAAATGCAGCAGTCTGATTGGTCCTAGAACAATAGGATCCAAAATGCAGCAGTCTGATTGGTCCTAGAACAATGTAGCGGTATGATTGGTCCGCAGGAGCCACCCAATCCAGCTCTAGGTGGAAGTGAATCCACAACCTGATTGGCCTACAGGAGAATCCCGGAATTAGCCAATCACATGCAGCCCATTGTGTAAATAATGTATATAAAGCAGATATTGTGGGGGAACTTCCATTCTTCCCCACCACTATGAGCTGAATAAAGAGCATGAAATCCGCTCTCGACTCTGAGTATATTTCAGTGTACAGTGGTACCTCGGGTTAAGTACTTAATTCGTTCTGGAGGTCCGTTCTTAACCTGAAACTGTTCTTAATCTGAAGCACCACTTTAGCTAATGGGGCCTCCTGCTGCCGCTGCGCCGCACGATTTCTGTTCTCATCCTGAAGCAAAGTTCTTAACCCGAGGTAGTATTTCTGGGTTAGCGGAGTCTGTAACCTGAAGTGTATGTAACCTGAAGCGTATGTAACCTGAGGTACCACTGTACTTTGTGGTTTTATATTTTGATTCTATTCTGTGAACCGCCCAGGGAGACCTCTGGGTATAGGACGGTATATAAATTCAATAAATAATCATAATAAAGCCCTCTTGGAGGTAGCTAGAGAAGATAAAAGCACAAAAGGGATGCAATGAAGACCTGGCGTATGTGTGTGTGTGTCGTGGGTGTGTGTTTGCTATACGCATGGATTTTCCAGGCAGATCGGCTTGACGCTCAGAGAAGCAGAGCCAAACAACTTGAAAAGTGGTCACTGAGCCTGCCTGCAAACAGCAGCCCCTCCCCCAGCCAGCCATCCCCGGAAAGCAATGAAGCTTCTTCTTCCAACAGCCGCGTCACAATAAATTCATGGCAGCCAGGGCTGGAGAAACAGGCTGCTGCAATTTAAAGGAAGCATGGATTTGCATATTGAATTAAAATTAAGAGCTAATTATGCAAATAAATTATGACATTTGGCAGGAGAATTTGCTTCAAGATCATTTATTACGTTCCTTTTTATAACAGTGCGAGCATTTAACGGTCAAAGACAATATTTTAAAGGAAAATTAATGCAAGATTATTAACCTAAAAACAATTCCACATTAATGAGATGTATCTCTCTTCAACTTCTCACACCTGGCTGCCTGTTGACTCTGGGCCAGAACTGTCTCCCAATAAGCAGGTTTTCTGCACGCCTGCGGCTACTGTCGAATGATGGGGGGAATTTGGCTTTGGACAGAGTCACTCGGGAAAATTCCTCGAGGTTTGGACCCTGATGGCCCAGAGGGGAAGTAATTTTAAGGTCAGTCCTGCTTCCTTCCCCTCTTGTATCTGCTCATGTTGAAAAGCATCTAAAAAACTATGCAAGGCAGTATCAGACTTCCAGGGTGTGTGATCCCCGTAAAATTGGCTTAAAGAAGGTAACAGACCACAGTAGGGTCTACATAAGGATTCTAGTGATCCATAGATCTAGTTGTTTAGTGCTTCCAACCAAATGCTTGTTGTGGGATCAGTGCTCCTCATGCATGCAAGTCTATGGGGGATGGAACATAAGCAGTCAAGTACAATACTTCCTGTTTGCCCAGAGTGGACACTCAGGGGTTGTTACTCCATAGCCAGGAGGACTTCCTGTCACACCTGGTCTGGAGCTTCCTTGCCCTTCATGTGACCAGGTAGATGGATGTGACCCCGGGAGACCCCATAAAAGGGGCTGGCCATGAAGCCATTCTTCTTCTTCTTCTTCTTCTTCTTCTTCTTCTTCTTCTTCTTCATGCCATGCTCTCTTGATACTGATGTATTTTGCTGTCTGCTGGTTCTCGACGACCAGGACATGGGCTCATTCCCATATGGGACGAACTCAAACCCTCTTCTGTACCTCTAAGCCAGATATCCCCAAACTCGGCCCTCCAGATGTTTGGGGACTACAGTTCCCATCATCCCTGACCAGTGGTCCTGTTAGCTAGGAATGATGGGAGTTGTAGTCCCAAAACATCTGGAGGGCCGAGTTTGGGGATGCCTGCTCTAAGCTAAAGCCTGCCTTCAGGGATCCAGCTGTGAACTGAATGTGAGTAAACTTCTCATTACTTTTAAAAGAACCTTCTTGTGCCTTTATTCTTTTTAGGAGGGATAAACAGGGTCTTAACAGGAATATACTCCAATCCGAACAAAGCCAGATTGGATTGCTTAACTAGAGATTCAAACAAATCTACCAACCAACTTCCTGCTATATATTGGGGAATGCACTCTGCTGCTGACTCACAAGCATGAGTTAGGAAGGATATTATTGATCAATATATCCTCTCCTAGTATTTACAACATTCCCACAGTCTTTGAAGCCGCATGACATCATTGTCATCAAAATGCCAGTGTGTGTCCCACATTTAATCCAGATTGACCCTTTCTTGGAGGAAATTTCAATACAGTGGTGCCTCGCAAGACGAAATTAATTCGTTCTGCGAGTTTTTTCGTCTTGCGAATTTTTTGTCTTGCGAAGCACGGTTTCCCAAAGTCTTCAAAATCACCAAAGTCTTCATAAACCTCAAAAAAGGCTACCACACCGCGTGCTATGAGTTGCTCCTCGAAGTCACCCTGGGTATTAACGGTTTTAAGAAAAAGGAAACAAACTTGCAAGACATTTTCGTTTTTTCATTTTTCGTCTTGCGAAGCAAGCCCATAGGGAAATTCGTCTTGCGAAGCAACTCAAAAAACGAAAAACTCTTTCATCTTGCGAGTTTTTCGTCTTGCGAGGCATTCGTCTTGCGAGGTACCACTGTATATATATTTTTAATCTATTGCCAACAACCCATTTGCGATATCTCAGCAACCCATCTGCAAAACAATCCCTCTGTCGAATATTGTTCATCTCCTCTCCTGATGCCATCAACACCTCTGGGCAGTTTCTGGATCCAGTTAGTGAGAAGATCCTTGCATGGAAAGGCATTTCGGCAGCGATGCCTTTTCCTGGAGAGTGGTGCGATGGCAGGAATTGCTGCCCAGGAAAGCTGCAGAAAAGTGCCCCTCCAAAAAAGCTGAGAGCCCCCAGTGCGGCAATTGCAAGCTCCCTTCTCACTCCCTGAATCATTCCTTGATGTTTTGTCCCTCACCACCCTTTGTTGAATTTCATCGAATTTATAGAATTTCATCGAATCATAGAGTCAGAACGCACCCTGAGGATCATTCTGTCCGACCCCTGCTATGCAGTTGTCCCTTACGGGGATCAAACCTGCAGCCAAGGCGTTCTAAGCTCCACGCTCTAACCAACTGAGCTACCCAGCTGATTTCAGGTGTTCTCTCTCTGAAACACCTCCCCATTTCCCTCAATGGGGCAAATGTTTGGAGCAAAACAAAAAGGCAGCCACGGGATAGCTCTCACAAGCCTGACTTATCATTGCAGTCCTCCCACCTGACTTAAATAGGACTACTTACTAGTCAAGGTGCTTAATATTGCAATCTAAGGCTGGCAACACCCGTCAGAAGACCCCATGCTTGTGACTGTTCCATGACATTACATCAGCTCAGTCATTTTGAGGTACCAGTGTAGAATCATCAATCCTGAAATCCCCTAACACAGTCTTGGCTAGTTCAGATTCAATCTACACCTGTGGAGATTGCAGTACGCATCCCTTCTTCTGGAAAAAGCTGCCCTTTCTGGTTGCTTCTAGATGATGATGATGATAATATTTTATTTGTATCCCGCCCTCCCCGGCCAAAGCTAGGCCCAGAGCGTCTAACAACAGGTAAAAATAGCACAGTGTACATAAAATTGCACAGTCAATTAATTAAAATACATTCTAGAATCAATTCAGAATCAAATTAATGGCAACCATCGGGTTAGAGTTCTATGAAGATTACAAAAGGAGAGAGGGGATCAGACTGTGCCTTGGCCAAAGGCCTGGCGGAACAGATCCATCTTGCAGGCCCTGCGGAAAGATGTCAAGTCCCACAGGGCCCTAGTTTCTTGTAACCAGATCGGGGCCATGGACGAAAAAGCCCTGGCTCTGGTCAAGGCCAGCCTAACATCCCTGTGGCCTGGGATCTCCAAGATGTTTTTATTTGAAGACCATAAGGTCCTCTGTAGGGAATACCAGGAGAGGCGGTCCCGTAGATACAAGGGTCGTAGGTCATATAGGGCTTTAAAGGTTAACCAGCATCTTAAACTTGATCCTGTACTCCACCGGGTGCCAGTGCAGCTAGTATAGCATTGGGTGAATGTGATCCTGCGGCGAGGACCCCGTGAGGAGTCTCGCCGAGGCATTCTGCACCCGTTGGAGTTTCTGGGTCAGTCTCAAGGGCAGCCCCACGTAGAGTGAGTTACAATAATCAGTGACCTCCTTATCAAGCTTCCTGGTTTGTCTGCACAAATTCCGCAAGGAAGTTCTACACTGTTGACTGTTTCTTGAGCATTCTCTGTGACTTGTACACGGTTGCACCAAGCAGTTGTGATTCCTTGGTGCAAAAATGTCTGGTTGCGGAAGCGGGGAGTTTGTTGCACAAGAATTGCACCCAAATCGTATTTGGGTTTGGCTAGTGTGCGATTGATTTTCACCAACTAAACATCAACAGTCTGGAAACAACCTGAGAAAAACCCGCCGTCTAAGAACTGATGGGAGAACCATGGTGAAAAGATATGGTGATGATGAGTGGATGGCAGTATTGTGTGGATGTCCTTTAAAATATGAGTGAACAAAACAGCAATTCCACACTAAATGCCGAGTGTGGAAGGACCTCCTCTGAAATCATCAGGACTTAGAAGTGCTTAACTCTGGCTAGATTATGTCCATTTATCTTCCTTTTACAGACAGGAAAGTTTTTTCTTGCTTTCTTCTGAGCAAAGCTGGTGATATACCTTGGGGACTTGGCTACATTTCAATTTGGGTAATTGCATTATATTTCCTTTGATTCCCCCCCTGCAGTGTGCATTCTGTGAAGTAATCTTCGTTTCATTTAGGGGCATAGGAACCAGTGCTAACAATCCCATATTCTCCAAAGTGATAACTTAACTTATGTGACTGAAATACATTACTTGACCTTAGGGTACATTTGCAGGAATGTACTTATTTTATATTTCGTAACGTTCCATCAATTTAGCTCTGAGAGATTTGTCGTTGTTATTCTATTTTGGTCCTGGTCCAGCGGGGCTGGAGAAGCCTGTGGCACTCCAAATGTCGTGCGACTCCAACTCCCATCAGCCCCAGGCAGCATAGCCGATTGTCAAGGATTATGGGAGTTGTAATTCAACAACATCTGGAGTGACACAGATTCCCCACCCCTGCAATAATGACTGCTAAAGGTAAAGGGACCCCTGACCATTAGGTCCAGTCGTGACCGACTCTGGGGTTGCGGCACTCATCTTGCTTTATTGGCCGAGGGAGCCGGCGTACAGCTTCCAGGTCATGTGGCCAGCATGACTAAGCCGCTTCTGGCGAACCAGAGCAGCACACGGAAACGTCGTTTACCTTCCCGCCGGAGCGGTACCTATTTATCTACTTGCACTTTGATGTGCTTTCGAACTGCTAGGTTGGCAGGAGCAGGGACCGAGCAACGGGAGCTCACCCCGTCGCAGGGATTCGAACCACGAGCTTCTGATCGACAAGCCCTAGGCTCTGTGGTTTGACTGCTAGACCTCATGAAAGCCCTGCCCAACCTCTGGAATGGTTAGATGAGCTGAGGGGTTGATGCAGTTGTTCCTGAGCACCGTCTCAGAGTAAGTTGGTCCGAAAAACTGCCAACAGTGAAATGAAGATTGCTATGGTGGCAGAAGACCAGCTTCTCCTCAGTTCCCCACCTTGAAGGAGAGTTTTGTTGTTGTTTAGTCATTTGGTCGTGTCCGACTCTTCGTGACCCCCTGGACCAGAGCATGCCAGGCACTCCTGTCTTCCACTGCCTCCCACAGTTTAGTCAAACTCATGTTCGTAGCTTTGAGAACACTGTCCAACCATTTCGTTCTCTGTCGTCCCCTTCTCCTTGTGCCCTCCATCTTTCCCAACATCAGGGTCTTTTCCAGGGAGTCTTCTCTTCTCATGAGGTGAGCCTCAGCTACAGGATCTGTCCTTCCAGTGAGCACTCAGGGCTGATTTCCTTAAGAATGGATAGGTTTGATCTTCTTGCAGTCCATGGGACTCTCAAGAGTCTCCTCCAGCACCATAATTCAAAAGCATCAATTCTTTGGCGATCAGCCTTCTTGATGGTCCAGCTCTCACTTCCATACATCACTACTGGGAAAACCATAGCTTTAACTGTATGGACCTTTATCAGCAAGGTGATGTCTCTGCTTTTTAAGATGCTATCTAGGTTTGTTACTGCTTTTCTCCCAAGAAGCAGGCACCTTTTAATTTTGTGACTGCTGACACCATCCGGAGTGATCATGGGGCCCAAGAAAGTAAAATCTCTTACTGCCTCCATTTCTCCCCCTTCTATTTGCCAAGAGGTGAGTAGGGCCCCCTGCGTAACCTTGTACACATCATCTGTTGCTTCACAGGCCTTATAAAATGATATCTTTTTGCCCAGCCTTTCCCTGACCGGTAGAAATTGGACCCTGTCCTTTCTGAAATCCTGTTTTTATAACCCTGCTTTGCTGTTTGTACCTCTGTTTTAATGATAACTGTTTTAGAACATTTATGTTGTGTTTCTATACACGTCTTTGGAGGTTTCTAACAGCTAAGCAGCTTAGAAATTCTTTCAAATAAATACACAAAGCTGCCAATTCCCACCTAGACATTAGATTGCTTATCTTCTGGAACAGCCTTCCAGTTTATATAAACTTGTAGTCAATAGGCATTTCTTAGATAAGTTCATAGCTGTTGGGAACTCCTTTTCAGGGTGGAGCTGAGTGGCAGAAGGCTGTCACTCGGGGCTGTTTCTGAGTTCTTTTGCTAATTTGATGTGTTGAACTGCACGCAAAGGGCTCAGTTAGACACCCTGGGTTCTGAATTGCCCTTGCAACAAAACAAGATTTTGACCCTACATCTCACATTGGGCCAAGTCTCTAAGGTTCCATTCTGAGTCCAAGATTCCATTCTGGAGGGTGCATGTAGCCCGTTCCTAAAAGTTCTATTTATGACTAGCAAAAAAAGTTATATGAAACTAGCACAAATTATATTTACGATTAGCGAGAAACTGCTAATGCTATTCTTAGGCTGGAATCAACAGTAGTATAATGTCCAGATCAAGGGAAGTTTATTTCACCATTCTCTTCTGCCTGGGTCAGACCACACCTGGAATACTGTGTCCAATTCTGGGTACCACGATTTAAGAAGGATGTTGACAAGCTGGAACATGTGCAGAGGAGGGCAACCAAGATGATCAAGGGTCTGGAAAGCAAGCCTTATGAGGAGCAGTTGAAGGAGATGGGTATATTTAGCTTGGAAAAGAGGAGAATGAGATACGACCGCCATCTTCAAATATCTCAAGCGCTGTCACAAGCTTGTTTTTTCCTGCTCTGGAGGGTAGGACTCAAACCAATGGCTTCAAGTTACATGAAAGGGGATTCCGACAAAACATCTGGAAGGACTTTCTGACAGTAAGAGCTGTTCAACAGTGGAACTGTCTCCCTTGGGAAGTTGTGGACTCTCCTTCCTTGGATGTTTTTAAGCAGAGGTTGGACGGTCATCAGTCATGGATGCTTTAGAAGAAGAGTTTGGATTTGATATCCCGCTTTATCACTACCTGAAGGAGTCTCAAAGCGGCTAACATTCTCCTTTCCCTTCCTCCCCCACAACAAACACTCTGTGAGGTGAGTGGGGCTGAGAGATTTCAAAGGAGTGTGACTGGCCCAAGGTCACCCAGCAGCTGCATGTGGAGGAGCGGAGACACGAACCCAGTTCCCTAGATTACGCGTCTATCGCTCTAAACCACTACACCACACTTAGCTGAGATTCCATCATTGCCGGGGGTTGGATTAGATGACTCCTGAGTCCCTTCCAGCTCCACAATTCTATGATTCTATGACTCATTCACTCCAATTGCTTTGACTACCCAAAAGCAACCTCTGCCCATAATATGTACTGGTTGACAAGCATGGCAATGAAGCAGCCTGTCCCCAAACTTTGGAACTGCATCTTTCCTCACAGCGGGGTTACTGCACAACCCATTTTGGGGGATGCAAAGGACAGAATCAGAGGCCTGGCTCAGCCCTCACTAACGCAGGTTAATTCTGTGTCCAGGGCGGCTGTCTACCAGGCTGAGACCCTACCTGCCTGCAGAATGTCTTGCCAGAGTGGTGCATGCTCTAGTTATCTCCCGCTTGGACTACTGCAATGCACTCTACATGGGGCTACCTTTGAAGATGACCCGGAAACTGCAATTAATCCAGAATGCAGCTGCTAGACTGGTGACTGGGAGTGGCCGCCGGGACCATATAATACCGGTCCTGAGAGATCTGCATTGGCTCCCAGTACGTTTCCGAGCACAATTCAAAGTGTTGGTGCTGACCTTTAAAGCCCTAAACGGCCTCGGTCCTGTATACCTGAAGGAGCGTCTCCACCCCCATCGTTTAGCCCGGACACTGAGGTCCAGCTCTGAGCGCCTTCTGGCAGTTCCCTCATTGCAAGAAGTGAGGTTACAGGGAACCGGACAGAGGGCCTTCTCGGTAGTGGCACTCGCCCTGTGGAACGCCCTCCCTTCAGATGTGAAGGAAATAAGCAGCTATCTTCTCTTTAAAAGACATCTGAAGGCAGCCCTGTTTAGGGAAGTTTTTAATATTTAATGCGGTATTGTTTTTAACACTTGATTGGAAGCCGCCCAGAGTGGCTGGGGAAACTCAGCCAGATGGGATATAAATAATAGATTATTATTATTATTATTATTATTATTATTATATAACGTGAAAATGGGAGTTCTTTCCCCCTCCTCAGGAAAGGTTTTCCATGACTCCTGGCTCCTCCTCAGTGACCCAAACCCGAATTGAAAATAATATCAATAATCATAAAGGAAACAAAGAAGGGAGCTGGCACATTTTTTAAATAAAGAAATTTCCCTCATCTTGTGGTTAATTTAAAAGGTTTATTTCTTGAAATGAATCCTCTTCATCAAATCTCCGATCCTTGAAAATCAGTGCAAACCTGCCTGGGTGGATAATGAATTGATTTGTAATGTAAATGATATAAAACACCCCCCACTCCCCACCTGCGTTTGTGTGTGAGTGTGTTTAATCTAAAACGTTTAAGTCTGAAAATGAGCTTCTCCATCAAAAGTCTCTATTCCATTTACATTTCTTGCATACGAGTCAATTTGTGCCTGACCCAGTCTATAAATCACTGACAAGGATTGCTGTGTTAGTACCTCTCCCCGCCTCCCTCCCTCCTTCTCCCCATCCTCCCAGTCCGGCACGTGCTAGATTCAAAAAAGGCATCTCTTTCTTATAAACAGCTCTCTGACACCAGCAAAGCCCTGCTCCTCTTCCAGGAGAGTGCAAATAATAATAATAATAATAATAATAATAATAATAATAATAATTTATACCCTGCCCTCCCCGGCCAGAGCCAGGCTCAGGGCAGCTAACACCAGTAATATTACAATAAAAACATAATGAGGAGGGGACCAATTTAAAATACGGGTTAAAATGCAATTTAAAATGCAGCCTCATTTTAAAAGTAGACCATAGATCAAAACCATAAGGGGAGGGAAACATAAGGGTCAGACTGAGTCCAAACCAAAGGTCAGGTGGAACAGCTCCGTCTTGCAGGCCCTGTGGAAAGATGTCAAGTCCCGCAGGGCCCTGGTCTCTTGGGACAGAGCGTTCCACCAAGTCGGGGCCAGTATTAAAAAGGCCCTGGCCCTCGTTGAGACCAATCTAACCACCTTGCGGCTTGGGACCTCCAAAATGTTGTCATTTGTGGACCTTAAGGTCCTCCGTGGGGCATACCAGGAGAGGTGGTCCCATAGGTACGAGGGTCCTAGGCTGCATAGGGCTTTAAAGGTCAAATAAGGAGAGGGTAGAGTTGTTGCCATTTCTTTGTCATGGAGGCGAATGCTTCCCCCATCGCAAAGATACGGATGGGGCAGGGCAACCCACAGGCCACCTCTGTTAACACAATGTACCAAAGCTGCCCTTGTTCCCTGGTCGGAGCCAAGAGCCAAGACAGCCTGGGTAGCTCAGTCAGTTAAAGCATGCTGCTAATAATGGCAAGGTTGGAAGTTCGATCCCTGTACGGGACAGCTGCATATTCCTGCATTCCAGTGGGTTGGACTGGATGATCCTCAGGGTCCCTTCCAACTCTACAATTCTGTGAAAGCGCAGCCAAATTGCTCTGGGAGTCTGATTGTGCTACTGGTTAGGGCAGGGGTCAGCAACCTTTTTCAGCAGGGGGACGGTCCACTGTCCCTCAGACCTTGTGGTGGGCCGGACTATATTTTGAAAAAAATAGGAATGAATTCCTATGCCCCACAAATAACCCAGAGATGCATTTTAAATAAAAGCACACATTCTACTCATGTAAAAACACGCTGATTCCTGGACCGTCCATGGGTCAGATTGAGAAGGCGATTGGGCCGGATCCGGTCCCCGGGCCTTAGGTTGCCTACCCCTGGGCTAGGGCAGTGGTCTTGAACAGAGGGTATGGGCAACTACAGCAGCTACAAGACCTGCCAAGGAAAATAAAGAACTTATTTATGTATGCTACAACAGCGGAAAGAGTCTTGATAGCAGAAGGATGGAAGAATGAAGAAACCCCAACAAAAGAACAGTGGCAAGAGAAATTGACGAACTATGCAGAACTGGCGAAACTGACATACAAATTGCGAGATAAGGACAACTGTGACTTCCAAGAAGAATGGGAACTTTTTGTGAATTATTTAAAAATACAACAAAATGAACTAGACTCCTTGGCAGGTTTTGAATAAACATACACAAATTTATTGAGGGTTAATGACAAACCTAGACAGCATCTTAAAAAGCAGAGACATCACCTTGCCAACAAAGGTCCGTATAGTTAAAGCTATGGTTTTCCCAGTAGTGATGTATGGAAGTGAGAGCTGGACCATAAAGAAGGCTGATCGCCGAAGAATTGATGCTTTTGAATTATGGTGCTGGAGGAGACTCTTGAGAGTCCCATGGACTGCAAGAAGATCAAACCTATCCATTCTGAAGGAAATCAGCCCTGAGTGCTCACTAGAAGGACAGATCCTGAAGCTGAGACTCCAAGACTTTGGCCACCTCATGAGAAGAGAAGACTCCCTGGAAAAGACCCTGATGTTGGGAAAGAAGGCACAAGGAGAACGGGACGACAGAGGATGAGATGGTTGGACAGTGTTCTCGGAGCTAGGAACATGAGTTTGACCAAACTGTGGGAGGCAGTAGAAGACAGGAGTGCCTGGCGTGCTCTGGTCCATGGGGTCACGAAGAGTCGGACACGGCTAAACAACAACAACAACAATATAGTAGAAAGATAATAAAAGTATGTATGCAATTTTACAGTATGCAGAGAACAACATGAGCATAGCTGTCAACTTACAGATTTGAAAATAAGGGACCAGCAGTCTTGAAAATAAGGGACCAGCAGCCAAAATAAGGGACCTGCAGCCTCACCTGTTCCAGGCACTCCAGTCTTCCTGTCCTCCTGCAGTCTGGTCAAACTCATGCTGGTAGCTTCGAGAACACTGTCCAACCAACTTTGTAACCAGAGGTTCAACTGAATAGAATCTGAATCACATGCACCACAAGGCCTATGCAGCCTCAACTTAAGATGGCTCCCCGGCCTGGCTTTGCACTGCAAAGCTTGCAGCAGCACGTGCAACAAAATGGCATCAAGCATTCAAAGACCCCCTCACTTTGCATTAACTAGCCACACACAAGGCATGCAAGCTCCACCCCCCAGTCATTCTTAGACTTCTTATTGGGTGAGCAACACAGCCAAGCAACACAGTTGGAGCCTCCCTCCAGGAAGAGGAGCTGCTTCCTTTGAAATTTAAGGGACATCATTTAAGGGACATCTATCAATAAGGGACAGCAGCGGGACATGGCGCTGGAATAAGGGACTGTCCCTTCAAATAAGGGACACTTGACAGCTATGAACATGAGTTGAAATCAGAGAGAGGAGCTGAGGGAAGTCTTTGGGGGGAGGGAGGGAGGGTTCTTTGGGGGGGAAAGGGGGAAATAATGAAGATGATTTGTTTTGATAATTGGTTATGTTGAAATTGTTAATAAAAGTTTTATAAAAAAAGAAGAAGGAAACTACAGCAGCTGCACCTTAAGACTGTAGGAAGAGTTCTGTGCCGTTCAGTCCTGCCGTGTGACTCGCAGGAGCAGCTTGTATCGAAGTTGCAAGCGGAAACGAAAGATTTGGGAGGCTTTGACTGTGACAGAGAAGAAACAGGAAGGGAGGGAATTAAAAGGTTATTATATGTGGTGGCAACGTAAAACCATTAAAAAAGCCTGGGAAAAGACATATAAAGATTGGAAAGGAACGTGGAAAATGATTGTTGTTAAAAAAAAATTGAAGTTATGATATTGAGATGTACAGGTTTAGTTGGAATTACTGAACGAAAGACTTTGTTTCTGTACTTAAGAGTAGATGGCTGGCCAAGACCAGCCAGCTCCTACAGAATGAAGAAGTCTCTGCCAAAGAAGATAAAGAAGATTGGCAAAATAAGCTATTGAACTATGCAGGACAAATCAGTTAACTTGAAACCTAAGAAAGAAAGAGGACTCCTGATTTTTTTAAAAAGGGACAAATGTCTAATGCATACCTTTTAAGCTTTGTATATATAGATTTTGACATTACTATAACTTTTAAAAGTCACTGGTAATACCATTAAGAAGGTTTAAAACTGGAATATTAAGATTATAAGGTTTTAAGGACTGGCGTGAATGAGTAATAAACAATGGAAACAAGGGGGAGGAGTGGAGGGAAGTCAAGCAAAAATTGTGGTTTAAGAATCCGTTGAGGATGCTTTTGTTATTATTTTTGGAGAATTAATAAAATGTTATCAAAGAAGAAGAAGAAGTTGCAAGCGGAAATAGATTGCAGGTATTTTTGTGGTTCTGCTTTCATTTGACCCAAGGGAAAGTGGCTTGTGCTGGCTGGTGCAGGTGCAAAAAAGTCATTCCCCGACATCCTTCTGTAACCTTTTACTTCCCTTTCGAAGTTGGCAGCCTTGCATCTGTGGAGCCATAGAATAGGGTATTGGTAGGCAAACTAAGTCCCAGGGGCCGGATCTGGCCCAATTGCCTTCTAAATCCGGCCCACGGATGGTCCGGGAATCAGCGTGTTTTTACATGAGTAGAATGTGTCCTTTTATTTAAAATGCATCTCTGGGTTATTTGTGGGGCCTAGGAATTCGTTCTCCCTCCCCCCCTTCAAAATATAGTCCGGCCACCCACAAGGTCTGAAGGACAGTCCGCCCCCCTGCTGAAAAAGTTTGCTGACCCCTGGAATAGGATGTCACCACAAAGCAGTGCCATAGCTACCGGGGGGTGGCTAACCAGATCTTCCTTCCTTCCTTCCTTCCTTCCTTCCTTTCTTTCTTTCTTTCTTTCTTTCTTTTATAAATTTATTTATTTGGTTTTTCAGATTAAAATTTTGCTGTCACATATCCAACATACAACATAGAAACAAGATCCCAAAGAATCTCCTAGACTTCCCCCCTCCCCTTTGTGGGTCCTATTGTTAATCATTTCCTCCTGCATTTTTTATAATAATCCAAATCTTTTACCTCTCCGTTGGGTCCACCATTCACCATTAAACTACAAGCGTTATTCCAATCCAACTAAAGGTTCTAACTGTTTACAACGGTCTTTAAGATAAATTATAAATTTCCCCCATTCCTTATTACAGTTTTGGTCTTCCTGATTTCTGATTCTTCCGGTCATTTTAGCCATTTCAGCATAATCCACCAACTCGATCTGCCATTCTTCTCTCGTAGGGACTTTATCTTCTTTCCATCTCTGGGACAAGCTAGCCAGATTTTTCACCCCAGATGAAGCCTCCAGGAGGGCGCCATTATGGCTCCCAGTCTGTCTCTCACTTTGTGTGTGTACACAAACGCACATTGGGGTGTGCCAAACTGGGACTTTGACTCAGGTGAACTAAAACCTAGTTTCGCCCCTGCCACAAGGGTATCCTTGTCTACCTTTCTGCACCACAGCTACGCCTTGCCTAGCCATCTGCCTCTAGAGATCAGCTTCTGCAGTCCAGATCTTGCTCTGGAGCATCAATTTCAGCTGCTTCACATAGAGAAGAAGAAGAAGAAGAAGAAGAAGAAGAAGAAGAAGAAGAGGAGTTTGGATTTAATATCCCGCTTTATCACTACCCGAAGGAGTCTCAAAGCGGCTAACATTCTCCTTTCCCTTCCTCCCCCACAACAAACACTCTGTGAGGTGAGTGGGGCTGAGAGACTTCAGAGAAGTGTGACTAGCCCAAGGTCACCCAGCAGCTGCATGTGGAGGAGTGGAGACGCGAACCCGGTTCCCCAGATTACGAGTCTATCACTCCTAACCACTACACCACACTGGCTCTTGGGTGGGGTAGATGTCCCCGCAGACTATCAACTAGAAGGAAAGAACCACATTCTGTTGGGGAGGTGCTAAAGAGCAGCAACATCCCATTTATCTGGATTATTTTTCTGAGCTGTTTTCAGGGACACAGGATGCAACCTTACACCAAGTTAGACCACTGATCCATCTTCTTCAGTCTACTATGACTGGCAGGGTTTTCAGGCAGAAGATATGCCTGGAGATCCCAGGGCTTGGACCTGGGACCTTTGGCAGAAAACGGCTGCTCTACTGCCAAGCTATGATCATTCTTTGAATGGAGAGCAAACGCCTTGACAGGGACATCTTGTCTTCTCTCTCTGAATGAGGCATACTATTTGGGAGAGAATGAGCTGAGTTACCCAGCGTTACAGACCCTCCAAGTGTCCCTTATTGCCCAGGGACAGTCCTGGATTTACAGAAGCCATCCTGGTTTCTGATTTGACCCTGGAATGTCTGGTTTTTTTTAAAAAAGACATCCCTATTTTCATCAGAGAAATGTTGGAGGGTATGGAGTCATGCGACCCCTGAGCCAAGGAGATAGGCATGTATACAACCTTTAGAAGACATCTGAAGGCAGTCCTGCATAGTTTTAATAATAATAATAATAATTTATTATTTGTACCCCGCCCATCTGGCTGGGTTTCCCCAGCCACTCTGGGCGGCTTCCATAGAAACAAAAAATACA